AAAGTGCTCTCCTCACTGCTGCTGGATTGTCACAAAGAATTCAAACCCAAGAACGGCCAAATGGAAGAGATACACAGGGCGGGCATGGATGGGGATGTGTCCAGCCCTCTGTGGGCACAGCACCCCACTGGCACCTGCACGTGTTCACCAAGTGGGAAGCGATCTGAGCCCAATGGTTTAGGGGTTTTCATGGAGGTTTCTTTAAGGAGACGTGCTTGGTTATAACACTGGTCATTAGTCATTCATTTAATCCCCTGCCCCTTCCCCTCCTTGAATGTCAGGGGTTGGGGCTGAAAGTCGCAACCTTCTAATCACACCTTGTTTTTTCTGGCAAGCAGCCCCCATCCTGAGATTATGTAGGGCCCCCAACCACAGCCGTTTCATTAACACACTCACCACTCCAGAGACTGCAAAGGTTTAAGGAACCATGTGGCAGGAACCAAATATTTATTTCTTATATTTATTTGTATTAATTATAATTTATCCATATTTATATTTCATGATAGCATTTAATGTATAAAACTTTAATCACTTATCTACCTGTCTCCATCCCCCTAGGAGCAGATAAAGAGAACAGAACCACTGGACTCACTTTGGTATCTGCAGGGTCTAGAGCCAAGCCTGCCACAGGCCAGGCTCCATAACGAGGGACTGCATGTTGGAGTCCTGAGCAAATCTACCAGGGAAATTAAATCTACCAGCAAAAAGCTTCCTTGTTGAGCCTTGACTCAGAGCTCAGTGACTCAGTTGCACGATGCTGTAGATCAGAGTCCCTGGGGCAGATGACCAATTTCCATTACACAGGTGCATATGACGCGGACCACAGAATCTTAGCTCAGAGCCCCTGAGATTTGCACTCAAAGACTTCTACCCTTGAACCCCTTGTTACGACTGCATTGCCCTCCTCCCCAACCCTGTTGCCCCAGGGGATGGCACCTGTACATTGAAGTGTTCTTGAAAACTCTCCAACTATGTGAGCAAAGACAAACTCTGTGTACTTCCTTTCCATAGGTAAGTTGCTCTATCCATGATTCTTGCATTCTTTTCAAACCCAGAGTGACTTCGATGGCATTTTTGAGACATGCTATTCAGCATCAAATCTCCACTCAGCATTCCTTGTGTTGTTATTTTTATTACCAAATAATCATTTGATTATCACATTATAGAAAGTTAAAAAGGCACAGAGGAAAAATTAAAACCACCATTTAGAAATAATTGTCTTGCACCTTATTAATTTCTACTTAAAGACGTCTGGTGAGCATCTTCTCATGTCAATAGATTTCTAAAATGACAGGTTTTCAGGACTTCGTTATGGTCAGCTGCAGGCTAATTAAGTTAATGAGCATTTCTTTTAAATTTCCAGAGCTAATTCAAGAGTGTGCTTTTCACATAGTCATTGAGCCGTTCGGATGTGAGAACTATTGTGCAACATGAAAAAGTGTTTGTGTGTAGTGGTAAGTAAAAAGGGGTTTACTACAATTGTATATATACTCTAATTGCAATTACTTTTAAAAAATTAATTCTGAGCAAAAGTGGTTGAAGAATATGCCTTAAAACGCAGTCTGCTGTGGTGATAAGATTATGTGTGAACTGTCACTTACCTCTACCCACTGTTTCTTGGCAGTGCGAGACTATCACTTTATAATGAAAAACAGTTTTTTAATTTCCCATGACAGTTTAAGCTGCCCAAATGGCACGCGGCCAAGAAAGGCAGATTTTTCCAATCAACAATTCTGTTCTTGAGTTACCTGAACTTTACTGAACTGATAATGAAACACACTGAAGACACTCTACTGCTTCTTTCAAAGGAATTTTGCCAGATGCATTTGGACCAGGTGGAGTGGGAGGAAAATGAGTTGATGGAATCTCTGGGAAGAGGGGATTCGGCTTCCAGCCCCCAAACCCTGGACACCTCTGGGCTTCTCACCAGGGTCCCTCTGCCTGTGGTGGGGTCACCGACCTTCCCGTTCGGCCCAGGGCCCAGAGGGTTCCTGCACACGGACTGTCAGGTTGGAAACTGGGGCGGGCTGGGCAAGGAGGGGTGAATGGTGTCCCGGCCGTGGGCCACGCCTGCGGGAGCCGGGCCCCGGGAGCAGCGCGGAGGCCTGGTGGCCTTTGGCTAATGTCACTGCCGATGCCCCTGCTCTCTTGTAGCCGGCCCCTGAGAAATGTCCCTCATCCTCCCTCTAGCCAAACGAATAGAGAGGCCGAGGACAACTCGGTCCTGATGCTGCCCCAGGAGCTTGTCCCACTAAGAAGAGCCTCCACTACAACCACAGGAGGCCCTTGATTCTCACCGGGCACCCGGTTCGTGGTGCTGAGGAAGCCCTACGTTCTGAACTGCCTCGGCATTAGCAGCTGGCTTTCTTTCCAGGGCCATTTGTCACGGGGACACTCTGAGTTCGTGGTTTCATGTGCGTTCTGTGCGTTGACCACCGCTCTCACCAGCCTGTTTCCCTGCGGTCACCTCCGAGTCCCCGCTCCCTCCTGTCCTGCAGGACCCCTTTCTCAGCCAAGCCTGTCCTGGCCACCCCACCTCCAGCTCTCCCCACTGGCCC